AACAATTTAAAACACTATACATTGAGACTGCTGGTATTCAGCCCTTTTGAAACACTATTTCCAGCAGAATAAGTGTAGATTTGTAATTTAATAAGTATAGATTTGATTTAATTTATTTTATGCTCTCTCTTTCTTTTGGGTCAGTAAAATAATTTTAAATTAAATTATTATTATTATTATTATTTAGCAAGGATGCATTCAATTGATCAAACATAACAGTAATGACATTTATAATGTTACAAAAGATTTTTAATTCAAATACATGTTAAAAAAAATGGTTTCCAAAAAAATAAAAATATATATTAAGCAGCACAACTGTTTTCAGCATTGATAATAATTACATAATTTCCAACTATACATGTTAAAATTTTCAAATCAAAGCTGAATTTTCAGCATCATTCCTCCAGTCTTCAGTGTCACATGATCTTCAGAAATCATTCTAGTATGCTGATTTGCTGCTCAAGAAACATTTCTGATTATTATCAATGTTGAAAACAGTTGTGCTGCTTCATATTGTTGTGAAAACCACAATATTACAAAATCTTACCATGGTGTATGTGAAGGACTGTCTCACTGCAGGTCTGAATAAATGAACGTGGAAGTAGTTTCACACAAAGATTACAAGTTTAGTAGTAAGAGGTAAAACTCATTTCATAACTTATAACTAGATACCATCTTTGCTTTGCTTCCTGATTAGCAAAGTCTTCAAGGATCCCTGAGAGATTGCTCATTTGGAAAGGGATATTGTGAATCGTTTCCCAGCACTTGCTAATTAGTGACCAAACAGTGTAGATGTATATTTCTAGGGCAATAAGTAAATAAATGGCCAGTAATTGTTTACAGTGAGATAACACTATTTCAATTGCATTTCTACCCACATTCAGACAGAAACTCTAAATTCAGCAGTACATGTCAAAGGATTAATCTGAAAGTGTTCAGTGAGCGTTTCTTTCACAGACAGACAGGACACTCTACTGTACTCTACTGTACTGGGGTAAAAGTGTGTTGCCCTGGAAACCGTTGTTAAGGAGCTGTATATAGGAGTGAGACCAGAAGTGTCACATTCATTCAAACTAATGAGCCACCTCTGATTTTTGGAGGGAAAGTGGATTTCAAATGCAACTTCTGAAAAACAACAGTTGCTTAAAGTTACGTAAAGAAATGTTTTGTTGAAACACTCCTCAGAACATCTTTAGATTTACATTTTCGTGTTGCAGTATATTTTCGTTAGTGGTGCAATAAATGCATAGCACATATTATGTAAAATTGTTCATTTTTAATGAGATTAAAAAAAATTGTTATTATTGTTTTTCAGTATGTAATGAAAGTATTTTTTTTAAAGAAGTCTCTTCTTCTCACAAAGGCTGCATTTATTTTTTATTAAAAAATAAGTGCAGCAATATTATTACAATTTAAAAAAACTATACATGTTAAAATTTTCAAATCAAAGCTGAATTTTCAGTATCATTCCTCCAGTCTTCAGTGTCACATGATTTTCAGAAATCATTCTAATATGCTGATTTGCTGCTCAAGAAACATTTCTGATTATTATCAATGTTGAAAACAGTTGTGCTGCTTCATATTGTTGTGAAAACCACAATACTTTTTTCAGCATTCTTTGATGAATAGAAAGTTCAGGAACAGCATTTTTTAATAAAAATCTTTTATGACATTATAACTGATTTTACTGTCACTTTTGAACAATTTAGTGCATCCTTGCTAAGTAAAAGTATTCATTTGTTAAAAAAAATAAATACAAAATCTTGCTGACCCTAAGATGTACCAGTGATTTATTATTATTTTTTTTTTTTTGAGCTCATTGCATTGCTTTATTCATAAATTATATTTTACTTGACCTGTGATGCTGCCTTGCACCAAAAAAAAGATATCTAAAAGGCAGCATAATGTCGTAATGTACTATCTTTTGGAACAAGCTTTGCATCTGGAACACACACATGATGGCTAAAATGCTGACTAAGTAGGCAGCGCACTGTTTTTGCAGGCTGCCCTTCACCGCTCGCCGCTCGCAGGAATTAATCTCTGTCTCCGACTGCTCGTGGTTTTTTTTTGGCAAACGTAGAACAACACAAAATTAATGACATGGCTAATCCTACAGTCTGGCATCCCGCCACCTTCTGAAGCAACAACAACATTAAGAATTCACAGCAAATTAAAGGTCATGGGCAAATTCAGCGCCGCTTACGTGGGTCAGTGCGTCCCCCCGCTGCTAATTTGGTCATGACCACAAAAGGACTCCCGACTCCATAGATGACGACTAGAAATAACCTCGTATTGTTATCTCTAATTAGAAATGTTTTGTTCTGCAATTACCTGAAATGGGACATGGCTTGTTGGGAGGTGAAAGTGGAGCAGACAGCATCAGATCAGGCACAAATGCTCACACGTGCCAGAGAAAACACTGCTTGTCCTGTTGTGGTTAAACACAGAGTCACCGCAGCGCTTGCCAAAGCCCTCGACTCAGTCCAAACATTAACATCCTCAGTGGATTGTTAGTAAACTTGTGCAGAAGTCTCAAAATGCCATAAAGCTAATTGTTATTATATAATCATGTTTTTTGTTGTTGTTGTTGTTTTTTAGGAGAAGTAATGTTGTTCCTTGTGACATTTAAATTCACAGTTTAAAATATGAGCTAATTTACAGCTAGAATTATTATTAAAAATATCATTACTATTATTGAATAGTATTTATTATTATTTTTAAATGCAATTATTTATTAAACATTCATTTCATGTTTTAAATTATTTATTATAATATTTTTTTTAATTAAAAGCTAGTTATAAATTATATATAAATAGATAGTGCATCCTTGCTAAGTAAAAGTATTAATTTGTTAAAAAAAATGAATACAAAATCTTGCTGACCCTAAGATGTACCAGTGATTTATTTATTTATTTATTTTTGCGTTGAGCTCATTGCATTGCTTTATTCATAAATTATATTTTACTTGACCTGTGATGCTGCCTTGCACCAAAAAAAAGATATCTAAAAGGCAGCATAATGTCGTAATGTACTATCTTTTGGAACAAGCTTTGCATCTGGAACACACACATGATGGCTAAAATGCTGACTAAGTAGGCAGCGCACTGTTTTTGCAGGCTGCCCTTCACCGCTCGCCGCTCGCAGGAATTAATCTCTGTCTCCGACTGCTCGTGTTTTTTTTTGGCAAACGTAGAACAACACAAAATTAATGACATGGCTAATCCTACAGTCTGGCATCCCGCCACCTTCTGAAGCAACAACAACATTAAGAATTCACAGCAAATTAAAGGTCATGGGCAAATTCAGCGCCGCTTACGTGGGTCAGTGCGTCCCCCCGCTGCTAATTTGGTCATGACCACAAAAGGACTCCCGACTCCATAGATGACGACTAGAAATAACCTCGTATTGTTATCTCTAATTAGAAATGTTTTGTTCTGCAATTACCTGAAATGGGACATGGCTTGTTGGGAGGTGAAAGTGGAGCAGACAGCATCAGATCAGGCACAAATGCTCACACGTGCCAGAGAAAACACTGCTTGTCCTGTTGTGGTTAAACACAGAGTCACCGCAGCGCTTGCCAAAGCCCTCGACTCAGTCCAAACATTAACATCCTCAGTGGATTGTTAGTAAACTTGTGCAGAAGTCTCAAAATGCCATAAAGCTAATTGTTATTATATAATCATGTTTTTTGTTGTTGTTGTTGTTTTTTAGGAGAAGTAATGTTGTTCCTTGTGACATTTAAATTCACAGTTTAAAATATGAGCTAATTTACAGCTAGAATTATTATTAAAAATATCATTACTATTATTGAATAGTATTTATTATTATTTTTAAATGCAATTATTTATTAAACATTCATTTCATGTTTTAAATTATTTATTATAATATTTTTTTTAAATTAAAAGCTAGTTATAAATTATATATAAATAGATCATATTCATAAAGTGCAAACAGTAATATGAGTGGCTTTGGATAAAATGTAAACTGTAAATGTAGTTTACAGATAATTATTATAAATATAATAAATTGTTATTATTAAATGTTATTTATTTTATTATAATTTTGAAGGGTTATTATTTTTAAACATTATTTAGTAAATGTTTAAAATGATTTATTATAATAAAATGATTTATTAAAATGAATGCTAGTGTACAGTGAGTGTTATTAAATATTTAGTTTATTAGGATTTTTAAATGTTACCTATTAAACGTTATTTATTAAATGTTTTTTTAATATTATTACTATTACTAAAAATTATTATTTAGTATTATTTATTTTATTATTTATTAAACATTGGTGTTAAGTTGTGACAGATATCATTCTTTTAGAATTATAGCTTTGTGTATTTTCTTTCCTTGCTGTAAAGTCCTGTTTACACCAAGAACAATAACTATAACTATAATTGGATGCCACATTAATGAATGTGGGTATATGAGCTAGTTTACAGTGAGAGTTATTATTATTTAAAAAATTATAATTTTAATAATTTTTCATTGTTGTCACGCTTGGTTTAAGGATGACGAAGGTAGACAAAGTAATTCAAAAGAAACTTACAAAAGAAACTTAGTTTATTAGTCAAAGTGACTAGAGAAGAAACACAAACGCAAACACAAACAATACCGGTTAAAGGAACTAAACCAAGTGGCTTCAATAACACAGGAGCTGATGAGATAATTAACTGAACAGGTGGACAGAATGAGTAATCAAACTACTCATGAAGACAGAACCAAAACACAAAGAAAACATGATCAAAGCAGAACAGAAGTGTTACAATTATATTGCTGCAATAAGCTGTTACAGTGATATTTTACTGTAATTACAGCATGATACATTGCCTCTTGTACTGTATATGGTTTCTTTTATTTACATAACACATAAAATGAGCATTCAGATTGATTTATGTAAGTATATGCAAGATGACATGTATTGTAAACCTTGAGTGACACTTTCTGAAAGTATAGTATGCCTATAAAAATATTTTGTGCTGTGTTTTGTTTCAGGAGAGAGAAGGACTGTGGTGTCGTGCATGAGAATCGTTAACAAGACCATGACTCAAGTCAACGACAGCTACTGTCAGGCGGAGAACAGACCCGCGCCTCAGATCCGCCGCTGCAACATCCACACCTGCCAATACAGGTACCAGCGGCACCAGAGCTTCTCAGAACGGACTGTTTTACCTCATATCTGTGTGTGTTGTGTATTTTAATGCCGTCAGCTGACCGAAAACTCAATAGGGAGTCAAACAAGATGGGTTTGGGATCAGAGCATGGCTTTGTAGAATATTCCCAACAAATCCAGGACAAAAAACTTCCAAACAAAATACACAACCTGTTCTGTTGCCGTCATCTCTGTACAGATGAAAGCCATGACAAATATTGATGCATGTTCTTCCTCAAGGATCATGCGTCAGACAGATGCTCTTTGACTGTTACTATAGCTATAACTATATACTATAGCTTTTCAAATGACATACGTTTGTCCGAGGAACATGAGCATTGTAACGTGTTTTCTCATTAAACCAAACCTAAGAATAGATATCTCTGCTCAGTTTATTAGTCTTGAGCTTTTCTTTTGCAACTGAATCTTTAACAATGCATATACTTATTGTTTTACCAATAATTCACATTTTGTTTTATCTTGCTAGCTTGTAGTGGTTTCACAATTTAGGAGCAATATGTAGAATTAGATTTATGCTGTGTGATAAAATCAGATGGCTCTAATTCCAAAAACTGTTTCTACGTCTGTAGCTATTCAAGATGCAATATGTCTCACATTACATGCTTTAGAAGAGATAAGATATTGACATGAAGTTGTTGATTTGGAGCAGAAAGGCTGGTTCACTTGAGTGAACAGGAGATAGATATCACGCTTACAGAATTATAACTTCTTTCCCCCATTTTTTCTTGCTCTAACAGTAAAGGCTTGTTCACACCAATAACAATAGTTCTAATGATAACTATATTAAGGTCCACCAATTTATTATTTAAATCATTTAAAAATACAAAAATAAGATCAAGCAATTTTTAGATCTTTTAAAGAAAATTTTAGGGGTGTTTGCTTGCTCAAAACTCATTACTGTGCGTCCAGTTTTCTGGGGTGTTATCGTTAACTAATACTAAAAATAAAAATAAAAATAGTTCATGACAAATAAAATATAAATTATAGAAGACTTAAACTTTACAAACTTAAATGAAAATTTGGAGTTTTGCCTTGGCAACTAACTGAAATAGAATTTAAATAAAATAAAAGTACTAAAACAAAAAAAGAAAGAAAATAAATTAAAGCTAAAAAGAAATATAAAAAAAAACTATAAAACATGACAGAAACATGTAATAAAATTACTTGCATTTTAACATTAAAGGGGTCATATGACGTTGCTAAAAAGAACATTATTTTGTGTATTTGGTGTAATGAAATGTGTTTATGCGGTTTAAGGTTAAAAAAACACATTATTTTCCACATACTGTACATTATTGTTTCTCCTCTATGCCCTGCCTTTCTGAAACGCGTCGATTTTTACAAAGCTCATCGTTCTGAAAAGCGAGGTGTGCTGTGATTGGCCAGCTATCCAGTGCGTTGTGATTGGCCGAATTCCTCAAGCGTGTGACGGAAATGTTACGCCCCTCACATACTGTTGACGCCGTGTCCCGGTGTGATGAGACAAAACCAATAAAACCCATTATAAATGAGGCATTTGTTGCATCCAGTGGGGACATAATTACTGATTATAATGACTTATACTGTCTTTTTACGCGTTGCATCACGCCACGTAAACATAAAACCATGTCTGCATTTGTGATCGGAGAAATAACAAACAACAAGCGCTACTCTACACTGCTCAAAACTCACGTTTGAATCATCAGTGGCAAATTCTTTAAATATGAAAACGTACTTACAGTCTGTGAGTCAGAAGCGCCAGACTGTCCTTGCAAAGTTGGAACTGCCCCACTTTATAGAAACAGACACCGTATTGTACGCTACTCTCCCAGGAAACAGTCCTTGTCCTCCGTAAAATGCGCTGCACACATCTGAATATTTGGGTTGATCTGTTCTGGAACAGTGTTGTAAATACTATTTAACCACTGATTTCTAGTTGTGTCCTCATTTGGAAGGCCAAACAAAGTAGTTTCGCTTTCACAACGAAACACAGCGCCTTCACGGCAACAATACTACAGTGAGAATAAAAGTTACATTTGGGCGGCGTTATGCAAATCTTCCCACATAGTGAGGTAGATATGTGGGGGCGTGTTAGAACGAGCCGTTTTAGGTAGGCGTGGCTGACTCTGAACTTTTATAAAGAATATCTCTTTGGATTTGAGACTTTAGTCTTTGCAACTTTACAGATCTTCTTTATGCACCAAGAGCTTGTAACACTCCAAAGAGAAAGGAAAAATTGAAATCGCATCATATGACCCCTTTACAATGAAAACAGAAAATATCAAAATAAAAGCTTTTTAAAAAATTCAAAACATCAATAAATACTATATGATAACACTAAAATAACACTGGTTTTATAGGGTGTTCTCAGTCAATTAAGTCCAATTCCAAGTGGATATTCTGATCTCTGGATAAGGCCCAAGTACCTCCATCAATGTACTTCTCAGGGATTTTTTCCGTTCCTTTTTATTACCAGATGTAAGTCTGATCACTTAGAAAAGTAATTGCACACCTCTATTTCTGTCTGTAACTGCAAAATCGATTTTGGTGCTTGTAAGAATGAGATCTGAGTGTGGGACAGAACAGCTTTCTGTAGATTTCTTCATGTTGTTTCTTCTCTGTCATCTTTCATCGTGTTGTTTAAGCAGTTAATAAAGACGGATCAAACTGTAAACTGATGATTAAAGCATCCAGATTTCATGATGTTTCCTGACAAAATTATTTGTTAAATTGTAACATTATAGAAGTAAAAAAAATAGTTTCAGTAGAGATCCGTTCAATTTCAGACTTCAGATCTCTTTCACTAATGCACTGAATATTGACAGAACTGTTGTATGAGTGTCTTCTCTGCGTCTCTGCTCCTCTCAGGTGGGTCGCTGGCGATTGGGCGCAGTGTTCAGTAACCTGCGGTAGAGGCTTGCAGCAGAGGGAAGTTGGCTGTGTGTACCAGCTGCAAAATGGCACGTACATTCCCACCAGAGACCTGTACTGTCTGAGCTCCAAACCAGCCAGCATACAGCACTGCGAGGGACGCCACTGCCTCACCATCTGGGAGGCCTCCGAATGGTTCAAGGTTTGAGCTCAAGTCAGCAGGAATTATTAAGACAGCAGATTTTGTTACAAGAGTTTGGTCTACTGTTTAGACATATTTTAAGCATTCTTGCTTTAAAAACAACATAGCACAAGATAATTGAACAGTTTATAGACACTCAATACATTCAAAATACTTATCCAGAATTCATCTGATTGACCTGCTAACTTTTTTGACCAACTTTAACCTGACTAACTTCTTGAAAACGCACAGAAGGTGTGTGTTCACGGTGTGTGTGTGTGTGTGTGTGTGTGTGTGTGTGTGTGTGTGTGTGTGTGTGTGTGTGTGTGTGTGTGTGTGTGTGTGTGTGTGTACACTACTCCTTGCTGTGTGTGTGTGCACTTGGATGGGTTAAATGCAGAGCACAAATTCTGAGTATGGGACACCAGATATATATACTTTTACAACTTTGTCACCATGATAATATAAGCCGTGAACACTAAAACACTAAAAACTTTAAAAAGTATGATTTAAACAGCTTTAAAGATCAAATAATAACAGAATAATTAATGTAAGCATTTAATAAAATTATAAACTTCACATTTCTGCTTTTAAAACTGGCTCCATTCACTATCATTGTAAGGCTCACATTTTTTAAAGAAAAGGAAGGATGAGTTTATAAATTATATTTTCTGGTAATCGATATTATGCAACAAATTCTGTTGCTACCTCAGTTTTTGTGTTTTTTTTTTTTTAAAGAAGAGGGTGGACAAGTTGAAATAATTTTTTTGTGATAATCAGTATTATAAATAAAATAAATACAAATAAAAATGCAGCCCTGGTGCCATTAGATGCTGAAAATACATTGAGACTTGGTGCAATGGTCAAATGCGTCCATCTAGTGCATGTTTACAGATTAATGATTAAAAAATAACAGAAATGTAAGAGCATGTTCTGTGTGAATTGTCTCTGACATTCACAAAATAATGCTCCATTACATTTATTGAAAAGTGCAAAAATGGTTTGTCCAGAATTTGTCACATTTAAGAACCGTTCACACAGAAAACATTAAACGCAGAGCAGTGGAATAAAAAAAAAAAAGGTTGAACTATTTTTAGCTTGAAATGTTTTGAAAGCCAGTCTTAAAACTCATGTAACTCAAACAGCAGAGCATGGCGTTAGCGCTGCCAAGGTCATGACTTTGATTCCCAGGGAAAACAAGAAATTTGTATCTTGAATGCATTGTAAGTCACTTTGGATAAGTGCATCTGCCAGATGCATAAAAATGCAAATTTGTGCCATAAATGCTATCGAAATTCTGAATTCATCACAGTAAAGGGCTGTTCACACAGAAAATGCAAGATGCAGGGCAGTGGAAAGGAAAAAAAGGTCTTAAAATTCAATTTTGTTTAGAGCTGAACTTCTTTTAATACGAGCACAGTGGTCAAAAACATCCATTTAGCAACAGGTTTGAGTAGAAAAACAATGGAAAAGCAGCACAACAGAATGCGAAAACACATTCTGTGTAAATGGCCTCTTATGATATTACATTCCCATACTAACGCCCATGTTTACATTGGTTATAGAAGTTTTAATGGTACAGCAGCAGAAGGTAAAAAATACCTCAAAATGTATAAATAAATATATACTAAAATTACAGCATTTTCTGGTGCATGAAGCCTTGCATAACATAAGAAGATGACGTGCCATAAAAAGTATACACTATAAAGATATAGTTCCTTTTATGAGACACATCCTGTACTACTGGACCATGTGAGGGTCTGTGAGAGCGGATGTGTGCGCTTGTGCCTGTGGGGTTCGTCCTGGCCTATGGAGGGCACTGTGGTTGTTTTTGAGTCTCTAGGTCTCATTTCAGATTTTGATGTCGATGTTTTAAGCACTTCATTAGAGTAGGTTTAGTCAGTGGAGAGAAGTGAGACTCCACAGGAAGCCTGTTTTAATGACCAGCACTCTTGCTTATATTTTTATTTATCTCCATCCTTCTTTGCACCCAATTGCTCACTTATTTTCCTTGTGTTATCCTCTGAATTCTCCCTGTCTTTGTCTGTCCCAGTGTTCCTCTGAATGTGGTCGCGGCAGCAGGAAGAGGACCGTGACCTGCACCAATCCTCAGGGTCTCTGTGATCCCGTGTCTCGTCCTGCAGAGGTGGAGACGTGTGAGGATCACTCCAAATGTTACGAGTGGAAGACCGGCGAATGGTCCAAGGTAGGGTGACCAAATAGTCAGAAGTCGATATATAGAAGTGAGTTTGGGGTCCGCAAGATTGTTTAAAAGAAATTCATACTTTTATTCAGCAAAGGGACATTGAATTGATCAAAACTGGCAGTAAAGACATGTATAATGTTACAAAAATTCAATTTCAAATAAATGCTGTTCTTCTCAACTTTCTGTTCATCAAAGAATCCTGAAAAAAAAATGTATTATGGTTTCCATACTGGCCCCATTGACTTCCATTTAAAAGTGTCTCATTATAACCCGAAATTTTTCTTTTTTTTCTTTTTTTAAATGAGGGATGAATGGATTTTTTTTTGTGGTAATCAACATTAAGCCACAAATGCTATCAATTGAGCTTAACTTAACCTGTGCTATTCCTCTGCACAACGCAGCTGTGATGCATCAGACTGCATCCTGAGTCAAATGAATGCAGACAGGCAAACATTAGGCCGGTGAGAGAGCGCTCTGCACGCGTCCACAGATCTTCAGCTGAATCAGAGTTTGTCATGCTGTCGCATGTGATGTATGTGGGCTGTCACCGGTTACCTTGCTGCCGCCCCGGTGGAGCTTGACTGCTGTGGCCCAGGGTCGCCTCACGCCTGTAAAGCTCCATCTGTCTGTTCCTCTGTTTCTCCTGAGGTTCGTGTTGCTCAGCAATGAGCTCTCGCCACCTCGGTGTGGACACGCCATTATCATAGTGCTGCTTCTCATGGTTTAGTGTCTCAGGTGCACAGTCTGGAAGTTCTTGTTTTGGGAATATGGGTTTTTCATTAGTCGATGTTCATATCTCGAGTACAGGGTCATTTATAGCCAATATTACATGGCTTACACTACAAAATGTAGTTCCTGACTTGAATACTAAGGTTAATAGTTGGTCTCTATGGGTGGACATGTGTGCTTTTTTTTTTAGCATTGCTAGAATGTTGTTTTGACCAAGCAGAATCAGAACCAAATCTATGCATTTTATTAAAAAAATATTGTACTCGTATATGCAGTATTATAGCTTCAATCAGCAATTATTAGGGTCAAGCGCTGAAATGGCAGCATGTGCTTTGCTTTTGTTTGACTTTTATAGGTTTTGACCAATTGGAGGCTCAATGACACACACATTTTCAGTAAAGAGTACAAGATACAACATAACGACTACACCATCAGTTATCAAGTTATCAACGTTGTTTATTGGAGAATAGGAAATGAAAATCTAAATCTCTTTGGACATTTCTGTGAGGCTTTGGGTTCAGGTAAAGGATAAATATCGAATAAACTTTCTAATTTCATTCAAAATGACAGACTAATACAGCAGAACTTTATATATATAATTTTATTAACTCAGCAATATTGATAAACAAGCTAATTTTAGATCATAGTATAATGAAGTTGACAATTTTATAAGTTTCTACAAACATTTCTGGCAAAAAACTCGACATGAAATCTAAATTGACCATATTTCTTTTTTTAATGCATTTTACAGGTCTTATTGTGAACGAATCATCTGTGCATTTGTTTTTATATGCATCTTTTACCTTTTAATCAAAATATAACTTCCTATGATATGCTCATTTGATGCCTATGATTTTTTTAAAATAATTTTTTAAAAATGTTTTCTTCTGCTCACCAAGGCTGCATTTATTTGATCAAAAATACAGTAAATTCGTAATATTGTAAAATATTATTACAATGTAAAATAAATGTTTTCTAATTGAATATATGTTAAAATGTAATTTATTCCGGTGATGCAAAGTTGAATTTTCAGCATCATTACGCCAGTCTTCAGTGTCACATGATCCTCCAGAAATCATTCTGATATGCTGATTTGCTGCTCGAGAAGCTTTTCTGATTATTACCAACATTGAAAACATTGTGCTGCTTCATTGTGACTTTTGTATAATAATTATTTAATGAATTGAAAGTTCAGTATAAAAATAGAAATATTTTGTCTTTACTGTAATTTTTGATCAATTTATTGCAACTGCACTGCATAAAAGTATTAATTTCTTCCAGAAAATCCTTATTAACCCCAAAATGGTGGTGTATGTGAGGCCACGCTGCAGCCAATTGGCATTCAGTTCTGCCATTTTATCCAGTTTGCAGTGCTCACTTTTCACAATCAAATCAACAACTGATGGATAAAATCAAGTCCCGCCCTCAACAGGCCATTTAAAGGGTTAGTTCACCCAAAAATTAAAATTAGCCGATAAATTACTCCCCCTCAAGTCATCCTAGGTGTATATGACTTTCTTCTTTCAGACGAATCCAGTCGGAGTTATATTAAAAATGGTCTTTGATCTTTCAAGCTGTTTAATGCCACTCAGCGGGTGTTGCATGTATCAGTCCAAAAGAAGTGAAATAAAAAGCCCCCATCCATAAAAAAGTGCCTCACACGGCTCCGGGGGGTGAACAAAGGCCTTCTGTAGCGAATCGATGGGTTTTTGTAAGAAAAATATCCATATTCAAAATGTAATAATCACTTTAATCTAGCTTGCGCCAGCAGTTGTACACAGAAGCAGCTCCAGGAGCATGATGTATGAGGTCAGCGCTGCGAATGCGCCGGTGAGTCTCGTGAAAACCAACGTTTGTTTACAGGAGCAAAGGAAGCAAAGTTTCCTTATTTTAGCAAAGGAAAACCAGTCTCCTCTTGGCTTATATCAAAATCCTCCGACATTCTTCTTTACAAATCCTCATTTTGTACTTCTAATAAGTGTTTTGTTTTGATCTCTCAGCTGTGCTTCCGCATTCGTCACTTCTGAGCGACGCATGCGCAATGCTGACCTCCATACGTTATTCCCCTGGAACTGCTTCCGTGTACAACTGTTGGCGCAAGCTAGATTAAAGTGATTATTACGTTTTGAATATGGATATTCTTCTTACAAAAGCCCATCGATTCGCTACAGGAGGCCTTTGTTCACCCCCCGGAGCCGTGTGAGACACTTTTTATTAATGGATGGGTGTTTTTTATTTAACTTCTTTTGGACTCATGCATGCAACACCTGCTGAGTAGCATTAAACAGCTTGAAAGATCAAAGACCATTTTTAATATAACTCCGACTGGATTCGTCTGAAAGAAGAAAGTCATATACACCTAGGATGACTTGAGTAAATTATGCTAATTTTCATTTTTGGGTGAACTAACCCTTTAACTTGGAAATACGCCACAATAAGTTGTGAAGTCAGTTGCAACTTCTGTTTCATGTCACCTAAAGTTTCGTCTCAGTTTTGCGTTTTGCTCAGTGTGCTTTTTTGTAGCAGTATTTCATTCACGTTTATAGATGCCCTTCAAGACTCCACAACTAATTAGAGCATCAGGATGTGTTGTAGGTTTGAGGTTTGTTTCCCTCTGAGCTTCATCTTACCGTCGCTCCCCATCAGCGGCCGCAGATGTTGAAGGCATTAGAGACAGGGTCAGCGAGACGTTCGAAGGTTGTGGATTATGTTTCTGACTGAGGTCTGCGGTCGGACCTCATGGTGGGACTGATCTTTAGTGAAGGTGTGAGTGTCTGATCTCAACTTCACGCCTTAGTTTCACATTAAATGTGTCTTTTGTGTTTTATCAATGCTTAGGAAAATATGGTAACATCATTGCATGGCCTGTTGTGGTTTACTGCTGGATTCTACAAACGTCCGGGGCCCTCAGTATTCACTCTACAAGCCTCTGCGACATTTGTTTGTGAAGTCGGCCGTATCATTTTGGGGGCAAATGAGAGGAAAATAGATTCTCCCATTAGCGAGATGTTGGTGCAGAAAGCATCTGATATTTCTGCATGTGTCATGCATTTCTGTAAAGAGCAGATGTTCCCTCTGTAGACCTGCTTCTTTTCATTTCAGTGATCTGCAGAAAAGACGAGCTACTGTCACACCAGAAAATGGAAAGCATTAAGTGTGCATTTACTGCATTCTACTGCACAGGCATTTTAACTGTAGTAGTTCTGCAGTTTATTACCATGGCAACCGTATCGTGACCTTACTGTACACAGGAAGTGACTGTCTGTGTCTGTATTACAGTAATCTCTCTTATATTTGTCAGATGACCGAGATTTACAGGTATGGATGTTTAGAGTGCTATGTAGTTCCTGGTGCTATTTTAGTACTGTTTATATATCATATTATTTATTAATATTTTGTTATTTTTATATAATTCGCTTTTATTTAAATATAATTTTAATCTGGTGTATACTTTTGTTTTTTATTTCTATTTAGCTTTCATTTATTTTAACTTAACTAGTATTTCAACTTAAATTTATTTGGTTTCAATTAGTTTCCAAGGCAACATTTCAAATTTTTCATTTGTTATTTAAGTTTTAAGTAGCTTTTATTTATGTTTTCAGCTATTATTTTAGTTTGAGTAATTTTGTTATGTGCCTTTGTCATTTTAATTTGTTTATATATATATATATGTACTTTAGTTTTCATTTATTTTTATTTCAGTTTTAGTTTTAATAATTTTAATACTACAACTTAAATTTAGTTTCAATTGGTTCGCCAAGGCAACATTTCTATTTTTTTATTTACGTTTTTCATTGAAGTTCTTCATGTGATATTTATATTTTATTTCAGCTGTATTTCAAAGAAAACAATTTATAATAGTTTTTGTTTTTTTAATTACTGCAGTATGAATAAATAATGCAGTTGCATTTAATTTTTTTTTCTACTATTTACTGATTCATTCAATTTTTATATTGTATAAAGAAAGTTCACAATAGCACATCATAATAGTATCTCACCTTCATAATTAAGGATCAGTGCTACTTAAATAATTTTGCATGTTTATTGCTACATTTATCATGGGAGACTTGAAGTCATTCATTACACTTTTAACACTATTATACTGACAAAGATTAAATAAGATTAGTTAAGAGCCAAATTCCCAACTAAATATGAAACTAATTGCCATAACAGAGACTTCAGATTATTTAGACACAATTTGTTGACTTAGTCTGCATTGATTTCACAATACAGTTCAGTCTGAACACAGTATTTTATTGTAACAAATCTTG